CTGATCTGCTACCACCAAAGGCGCATGTGCCGAAGGCACGCGTGCCTCCTCCTTCCGTCCTTCTTCCGTTCTCTCGCATTGGGTCTGCGCCGAAGGTGCTTCTGCCAAAGGCGTCCATCGCCGAAGGCACTTGTCCCGAAGGCGCTTCACTCGAAGTTCATTGACCCGAAGGCGCTTGGGCCGAAGGCGCTTGAGCCGAAGGCTCTTGAGCCGAAGTCGAGTCATCGAATGGTACTTGCTCGGAAGCGAAGCATCTGTCCGTCGTCGACACATTCGTTGGTGCCGCGTGTTGTTTCCCTTGACCTTAAGGCCTTCTCGCTTCCGCTGAAGGCATCCGTGCCTTCGGCGCAGGGAGGTCCGCTGACCTCTATGTAGTTCGTGCACTCCCATCCTCCCTCGGGGATGGTGAGTTTCTTCCCTCTCCAGCACGCCCCGTCTCCGCGTTGCTTGCAGGCAAGACGAGCCTACGTGCCTTCTGCTTGGGCCGACTGCAGAGCTTTGTCAGTGGCCGCTTTCGTTTGAGAGCAGCAGCCTCGCGTTGCTGGCTCTTCTCCACTTCTCCTTCCCACCTTCGCTTCCGCGGCACTTGTGCTGCAAGCGATTCTCCCTCAGCTCTTGGTTGAGCTGGTGGCGTGCCGGCGGGTGTCTCGTCTTCGTCGATATCGACTTTGACGTCCTTCACATACCGGCCCGGATTGCTGCGTGACAGCAATGGGAATTGCACCCGCTCTGTCGCGGTCAGACATCCCATCGACGGATAGAAATTGATCAAGAAGGGAGAGAGGTGATTGATCGATCCTCCCTTCTCCTCGAACGCATGTTGTCTCGTCGCCTTCCACAAGATGCGAGGCCAATGAATCGGAGCTCCGGCCAACGCCAGCTCCACGAACGCCACCTCCCAAGAAGTCACGTAGGTGGTCCTATGCGGCTACAAAAGTTGAAAAAGTGCTACCGCGACATTCATGCGGAAGCGATCCTTATAGTCCCAGGTCTTGTACCCGATTCTTGCTGGACTTGCTGTTTTTGAATAAGGCCCCGAAGGAAATCTCTTCCTCCTTCGTGACCTTGATACTCTCGCATTCGAACAAAAGATGGCCTTCTTCTCCCACGCATCTTCCCAGCACCTGCTCCTAGTCGCCGACTTCCCATCGCTCCGGGTGCGGTCGAAATCCGCGCTTAGGTTGATCCTTGCCCTTCTGCCACTCGGGAACCATATCCTCACACACCCAATTCCATCCCCATAGGAGGAAATCAAGTTTCACTGCAGTTAGCTTTGGCTAGAATGTGCGCAACCCAATCCGCGGTAGCTTCAGCGGAATCATCCGCAACTTTGTCACCTTCAACATTGTTTTTTTCAATTCACTGGCGCACTTCAGAAGTCCGCAAACTTTCCTCTGCTATCTCCAAGTTTCTTGCACGCGGACGCAATCTCTCTGCGAGCTCCCACTCTCACTCCCTAGCAAGTCCCTCGGCCGCGCACTCAGCTGCTACGCGCTATTTTGCAATTCCCCGCGAGTCGCAATTCTCTCTGATTTCTCTCCGCCAATTTCTTGTTGCGCACTCGTCGCTTGAGAGAAATCAAAATTGCAATTCCAAGAATGAAACGTCTGCCTTCGGCGAACAAGATTTCACCCTTTGACACTTGGGCGTGGATATCGACCCACTTGATTGCTGCGCCGGCTTGGAGGCGTAACGGCCTCCTTCGCACGCTCAGCTTCACGCTCCGCTGTTGTGCGGGCTCACACGCACGAGAATTGAATTTGATTTCCGCCGTCGTCTGTCGACTTAGCCTTGTTCGCGCAGCGGCGGAGGACTTCACCTCTGTCCGATTCTTGATTTATCTCTCTCCGCATCGCCGAAGGCATACGTCTTCCACCGAAGGCACTTTCCCGCAGCGCCGAAGGCGTACCCTTGAAGGTGTCCGTCGACGTAGGTGCATCGCCGAAGGCGTTGACTGAAATCAATGCGTCTTGTCCTTTCCGTTGTTCTGTCTTGTCCCGCCGAAGGCGCTCTCGCCGTAGGGGTTGCTTTCCGCCGAAGGCGCACGTGTCCGTCGAGGACGTACCGTCGAAGGCGTACGGCCGAAGGCGCTTTCCCCGAAGATGTTGACCTAATATCGATGCGCTGGCGCCGAAGGCGCTCAGGCGAAGGAGTACACCGCCGAAGGCGCTGCCCCGAAGGAGCTTGAGCCAAAGGCGTACGTCCGTCGCCGAAGGCGTTCCGCCAAAGGCGCTCCATATCAGTAACTTCCGACACTCATAGCTCATTGATCCCTTATCCGTTTCAAGAGTAGTTGGGCTCGTTAGAACAAGCGCGTCGAGATCTTTCCAACAAGACCCTAACTAGATCAAGGAATTACGAATTGGGACAGTCATGAGTGATTCACTCTAGCGCCAAAGGCGTCTATCGCCGAAGGCGCTTCTCCTCAGTAGGGACCGTCCGCTCGGGCCAGGGCGCCTGTCCCAGACATTGCGTCCAACTCCTGGATTCTCCTGGACCCGCGATTGTCCATTTTCACTCTATTTTAGTGTACCGATTACTATTTACAGTTGCTGCTGCGGTACTGTTTTCCAAAAATGTTTAAATTCCGCACAAAAACAAAAAGTGGGTTACCTCACCGCACACTATCTTGCGACGCACTGTCGACAACTCTCCGCAAGCCCTCCGTGAATTCTCCTGCTCCGCGTCGCGAGCTTGAGCGAATGCTAAATTGAAAATGCGAGAGTGAATTCCTTCCTTCGGCGATCAAGATTGCTCATCGTTTGACACTTGAGCTGGCCGTGGCCCGCTTGAATGCTATGCCGGCGCGGAGGCGTAACGGCCCAATTCGCACGCGCGAATTCACGCTCCGCCGTTGCGTGGACTCCCACACTTGTACATTCAATCTTGATCCCGCTGATTTCCGCCGACGCCGTTCTCCGTCCGCGTACCGCCGAAGGCACTCGCGGCGAAGGTACAGTCTGCCGCCGTTTTCTTTGTCCTTTCTTCTTCCGCTGAAGTGCATCCTTCCACCAAAGGAGCATCCTAGAGGCGAAGGCATTGCCTTCCGCCGAAGGCGAGACCTAACGACAAAGACAGCGCTAGCAACGAAGGTGCTAGTGCCGAAGGCGCTGGGGTGAAGGAATCTACCGCCGAAGGCGCTTGAAGTGACGAGATTGTTTCCCTGTGACGAAGGCATTCCGTGTCGCATGCTTCGTACGTCTTCAGCGAAAGCTCCTCTGCAGGCGTCTGCGCCGAAGGTGCTTCCTTCTGCTTGCACCGAAGGCCCTTCAGCTGAAGACACCTCATCAAAGGAGCTTTTGCCAAAGGCGCCGAAGGCGCATCCCTCAGCAGGAACCGTACGTTCCGTCCAAGGCGCCCGACCTCGGCCTAAGCCTCCCAACTCCTAGATTCTCCTAGACCCGCGATTCTCCCTTCTTACTCTATTTTTGCGTACCGATTACTATTTACAGCTGCTACCGCGGTACTTATTTTCAAAAAATGTTTTAATTCCGACAAAAAACAAAAACTGGGTTACCACATTTTGAAACATTGCAAAATGATAAAAACATTTCACAAACTTCGTATCTGGTGGATATGTATCAATTAAAGCTCATTATTATCGATAACATGTTATTGAGACGGAGAGTCCAATAAGTACTGAACTCTGTTACACTCTCATGATGCTTGTCATCATGAAATTGTGCAAGGAGAAATTACAGACCCAGGGAATCATCATACTAGATTTAGCACAACCAGAAGTAAAGCATATTACGATCATAAGTTGTTTTCAACCCGATAATTACATTGTTTTCCTGAAAAAATCAAATCAAACTTGATCGTGGTTTCATATGAACACGATGATATATGTAATAAAAGATGGTAGAGATTTAGATATCGTGCAAAGAAACTAGGAATTTGAATAAAAATATTGCCACATAACATATCCTACTGTTAAGCACTTCGTGATAGAAAATTTAAATCCCTATGTAAAGATTGATAGTGAATGTTCCTTAGATACTTAGATATTACCATGGCGTTTGCAGAATATGGCCGTTTTCTTATCCATATTAGATTACTATAATTAAATTCCAAAGTAGACTTTTTAATGACTATGATATTTTGTTGAAAACTGCTTATAAAACAAGGGATCGTTAATGACATCGCGGTTTAGCCCTCGATTCTCAGAAATCTTAGTATTAGATCCCCTAATCTAGTACTTTCATATTGGAAATATAAATATCATTTTTTTACTCGATGAAGTATGATTATAGAGAACATCAGATATCAATGTCTATGGTTTCAGTTCATGTATATTTATTTAAATTTAGAGCACCTAAACCTTTACTCCATGCTCTTCTGACTTATTGCTCGATGCAAATAAAACGTCCTCAGAATTCAGTGGCTAGAATATTCAGTGTTGGAGTGAGCTGGTATTGAAAGTACTAGTTCATCTGGCTTTTTCGTAGAAGATCATGTGAAAAAACTATACACTAATTCAAGAGACATAAAGAACATCTGTCTTTGAGAATCAGATAATTTTATGATATTCTATCTTACGAAGTTTTTCATTTCATAAAAATTGTGTGGATGCTTTAAAATATGAATGTATAAGTGTAATCCGAGGAAACCATCCATCCTTCATACCTCAAACAAAAGTTAATACAGGAGAGCTCAGGTTTAATTTTTCCTTCAAATAAAAGGTATTTGTGTCATTGCAAGATACATAATCAACTACATTTTTCTCCTGAATGAATAGGTTTGTAAACACCGTTCAACCATTGTTGTATCATTTGTTGACCATTGGCCTCAGAGATTGAAACGTCGGAGGAAATCATGACCACACTGCCATAACAATGAATAAACGAGGCAACAAATGAGAATTTTGTCGAGTGCAACAAATGTAGTATACTGTTTTGAATGTATTCGGCTATAGGCAGTTACAAACTTAACTACCTTGACATTTGGTATCACTGCATTCTGGGATGGACATGAAATATAAATAAAATCCTTTTGTTATTGCCATGTAAGCATCAGAAAGTTGTTATACTGTACTGGATCTTACCCACTGCATAACGTGTGGCAATGAGATGCTCCAACTGCTTCTCAAGGCAAGTTCATGCCGCGTATTCTGAATTTCACTTATTCTACTTCTGATGAAAGAGATGTACGGCAGTAAGTTTGTCCGCGTGAGTCAGGTGACGATCTTGCCTTCTGCATCAAGTTTCCCTTCCGAATGTCGTATAGAAGCCCTCTTGCGACCCCAAGCAAAAGCAGTCAATACCTTTTCGGGGGCAATAAGCCGAGAGAGAACACAATATCTGGGCGAGACAGATGCTTCCAATTGGAGCCTTTTTTGCTATGGATTACTACTAGGATTACCAATTGCGGATGGTAATCCTTGTCCTCTGCATAAAGATGGTCTCAGGTTTTACCCTTGTTGATGCTGAATCTACAGCGCGTGGTTTCTCCCCGACTATGTATGAGAACCTCTTGGATGTTATTTACAGTAGAGTGGTACGTGCAGCTTCAGATCAGTCTACGCACTCGTGCCTGAGTCTGAGCTTCACATTTTGTTGTCAGCAGATTTAGTGTCGTCCTCACCCTGAGAGCTTGGTTTCAAGTTTTCTCCCTGAAATGCTCATGGAGCCGGACATGGACATGTTCGGGAACAGGAAGTGTGATCCTAGCGGCAAAGCACGGATGACGAACTGGTGATAGGCGGCAGCCAAGGTAGCTCCGATGAAGGGACCGACCCAGAAGATCCACTGCGCAAATCAGATGTCCCAAATTATCAACCCTTCACTGCTGTCAGGCAGAATGTTCATGCGAGTGCGAGAGACAGGATCTTGGATTTCTGAGATTTCGGTCAATGGGAAGAGTTTGACACAAGTTGAGATACTATGACTTACCTGGTCATCCCAAGCTTGCTGGCGGTTCCAGAGAGCAGCAGGGCCGGAGCTTCGTGCAGGGTTGATTCCACAGCCAGTGATGGGAATGGTCGCCAGGTGGACAACGAAAACTGTAAGCCCGATGGGCAATGGGGCGAGCACCTGCGACATCACAGAGCCTCTAGACATCAAGCTTCGTCTTCTATTTGGACCAGCTCAACATAATTTTCGTGCCTGTGATCCAGCTTCAGATGGTGCAAGTGGATTCATCCGAGAGCTCATTATCAAAGAAACCTCAGATATAATGGTTGTTGAACCTACCGGCACATGCGAGTCCCTGGATTTACGCTTAGCATCAGTAGCAGAGTAGACCACGTAAACCAGGAAGAAAGTTCCGATGATTTCTGCTGCAAGACGAGTGCCGATGCTGAATTCTGCACTAGCCGTATTCGTCGCGCCGCCCAGCACCTGGAATGGAGTTTTCTGCAATCCCTTCACGAGTCCTGCTCCACATATAGCCCCCGCCATCTGGGCAATTACGTAGATGAAAGCCCGAGGAACGGAAAGCTTCCTACCAAGAAGTAGTCCCAAAGTAACTGTGGGATTAATGTGTCCTCCTGCCCACACCAACAGATCAATCGTTGCATCGGAATAATCAGACTACTGCCATACATGACAACCATGAAGAATGGACTTCACTCTGAGAACATTTTCATCTTTCCACAATACTATGACCACAACATCATCATCAAAACGCTCCTACCTACAACCAGAATGAAATGAAGGAGCCTCGGACGATCTGACTGCAAGTGCTTCTAGAGCCGGCTGGCAATCGAAGGGCGAACCTGAAACACCAGCTGTGCAATAGACAAGCACAAATATGGTGGCTCCGAAAGACCATGCAACGCCGAGAGCTCCGACTCCATCGGGGCTGGTACGGCCATTTCCAATGGCAGCAGAAACGCCGATGTACACGAAGAGGAGAGTGGCAATAAACTCAGCGATGGCAGCTCTATAGAGCGACCATTTATAGAATTCATCGACAGTCCACAGAAGATGTGGCTCTGGCTCGATATAGTCCCTGTCCTCAGTTCGTGCTGCGCTGGCCTCTCCGATCTTAATATCGCCCTAAACAACCATTTTGCTCAACTGACTAACCAACAAGGTTGCTTAGCTCTTGGATTATGCAAAGAATCCTTCTCACACTCTTCAGTTCTATCTCTTGATTCTCGTATGCAAGAGCTCACATAGGATCCCCTGAGACTCGATAGATACTTAATTTAATCAAATACTTTCCAGAATTGGTGGCTCAGAATTTGGTCTCGTGCAATTGTCCTTTGTCTGCGGAGGAGATGTAAGCCGTATGTATAACGCGCTATGCAAGACGTGACTGATTCACATTACTGAACAAGCTAGCATCCTGCAATCTTTTATGACGGCAGAGGCAGAAGTCATCAAGACATCGATAGATCCATGAATCTGAAACGAGACGAATCGAGTATCAAAGTTATGTATTGTATGCATGAGATTCTCTGATGTTATATCTGTCTCCGACTATGACCCACTCATTGGGCGATTATGCATGAATAACCAACTGTAAAGCCATTGATAACTTTGAAGTAGGCACAATATTATGTGTAGAAAAGAACAAAGAAATACTTCATGTCCCAAAGCACTGAAATAATGCTCTTTTGTACAAGCTCGTTGGGCTGTTGACAGCTGAGCATATCGAAATTCGTATGTGTATCGGAAACACTTGAAACTGGAGTTACAATGGCTGCTTGGAGGGCATCTGTTGATCTTTTGTAGGACATTTAGATTTAGTCAGAAAACTTCAGTGATTCGGTGCTGGTTCTGTAACACCTACGATGGCATCCAGCAAGGAAGTGTTCGTATCGTCGGGCTGCAGGCATATTTCATAGGCGAGAAAATGCTGCATAGTACACAGACGTCATTGCCTTCTTTCCATGCGGACGAATGCCTGAGCAGTATACTCAACGTGGCGTTACGTCAAGTCGACAACATCTACAACATCTACAGAAGATAAAAAGCCTTTATCAAGACTGGATCGACCTCTCGACAAGATAACACAAGAACAGCAAATCACGGATAGATCCTAATGTCTCAAAGAAAGCTTAGTAGTAAGTTTCCGTTTGCAATACTCGTTTATCGGCGAATATAGTCTGGGGGAACGTTTGGTTTACCTACCAAATTGTTCTCAAGGTGGCCAAGAAATAAAAAATAACCGATTGTGGAAGCGACAGTGAAGAGAATCTCTAATTTAACAATCGGTGGCATACTGCACTAAAGCATGCTATACTGCACTAATTTTGCAAGCTTTGCAAAATCACTTAAATTTACTCAATGCCTGTTTCCACGTAAAAATCTCGGATCTGAGGCAAACCCCTTCTGCCGAATTCTTCCATCTACCTAAGAAGATCTGCTCTTCTATCCCAATTTCCAACGCTGCTCTTGAGCTCTCCTAATAAAAGTATTTCCAACTCTGTATTCTGAACAATGCGTTTCGCTCGTCATTGTTTCTCATTGTGGGCGTTGTCATCTCCTTTTTTTTATGCGCGACGGCTACATTGGTTAGAATCTGGGAATGAATAATACACAGGAAAGGAGCGGTTCCCTCTGTGGCTCGATGTACTGTACATGAGTATAGCCCAAAAATTTGAGCGTGAAAACATTAAACCAATACGGCTTGGATTTTATGAAGTTCACTCAGGCCGTATATATCACTTATTGAAAGCTAAAGACGTATCTTTGCGCTTGGGGCAATGACGCAGTTAGTGAGGTGAAACCGAGACGCGTCAATTGCTGGTTGAAAACTATTTCCAAACCCCCGCCCGTGCCTTAACCGGCGCGTGCGAATTTCTGGAAGATCCGACTTTGTCTGGATCTCACAATGTAAATAAAACTGGACCCAGCCGACGATACTCTGATAAGTCTGAGTTTGTGTGAACTACTTACTGTTTCGAGAGAAAGCAATGTTTTCCCTGGGCCAGATATACTGAGAAAAGTAAGGTGGCGTGAGCAGATGAGAAGTCATACACCGGACCTATCGAATTGGACGAATTTGATTCTCCGACAGGAAGAAACCTGCAAACGAGTGCTCTGTTCCAATTTCTGTGCTCTTGCATGTACAGAGAGTGATTCTAAAGAGCATAGTGCAGGTGCAAATCAAGCCTAAGCTTGCAATCTGGTCCTATGAAATGGAAGTGCGCGAATACTCGTTATAACTACTCAATCCGAGCTGCATAGTACAAAAGGCAATCATCACTGTGGATATCATCTGGTGGCAATCATCACTGGTGAAGGGGCTCGCGTCCGCGCGGCCCCTTCACCAAGTAAACCGAATAGCAATTATTTCCACACTAGTGACACTTCAATTATCAAGGTGTGACGATTCTGCCGAAAACTGTGGTTCAATCAATCTGATATGCGTCACAAGCTTAATAAGCTGCAAACCTCGTGAAATGAGAACGAGGTTTGCAGCTAATTCTGAGATCTTCTTATATAGTGCGGATTCGGGAAGTGGATGTGGTTGAGTGGTATTCTCTAATGAAGATGTTGTTCTCACCGGTGATACCACGGTCACATTTCATATTGCCGTTAACAAAATCGAAATTCGAGAAGGTGGAACAGAGGCACTTTCTGAAGCAATGATCCTTCAGATGAGGATCTTTTATTAGAGGATCAATGTCTCAATGGACTACGCTGTCAACAGTGACATAATCTACAACACTGACGTCAACCAAACATATGATCGTCAACCAAACATATGATCGTCACGATCTTCCTGGAAGACAGGATGCCACTCTGATGTGAAACATTCGATCGTTGTTTGAAGAAGCGCTCTCAGACGATTGCTTACAGCTGGATGCGTGACCCCAATGTGGTATTGTCGTTCCTGCGAACATCGGCAAGTCTGGCCTAGTCATCACAGGTTATGAACCGCACTTCACTTGATGTAGTCGGTCAAGGTCCCATCAGCTACCTGTGTACACGGAACATAACTCAACACGTGAGGCATTCCATAGCACGGTGAGGCCGGCGTCATCGATTCTAGTTCCGATCAATTCAGATCAGCCACCAATGAAAAGTACCGATGAAAGACCCAAAATAAGAAGCAAGAAGGAGAAAGTGCGGATCAACATGCCCGATCCTTCGTTTGAGTTATGTAAACGTCTACCGTCTAACCAATCCGCTTCTACTTGCAACTACGGTTTTCCAATTTCCATCCACATTCAGCAGACTCAGTACTGTAAATTCGATCCTTTTTCCAGTTTCGTCCTCAGAACCACTGTGATACACCTCGAGGTATAAATCTTCGGCTTCTCAGAGATTCGCAAAGAGGCCTCATGCACTGATATCAAATCGTAGCAAGTGTACATGATTCTAGAAATCACCCAATACCCTAACCTCAACTTTATTGAAGCCTCAGGAGCAGAAAAATTACAATGGAAACCTTCCAGGGGTCTTTATAAGCCTCAATCTTGTGACTTAATCTTCTGTTCACAACTAGAATTAAGAGAAGATGGACCCACCTTTAGTATCAGGAACAAGAACATAGAGCACGACAGTGACAAAAATTTGATGAAAGGAATCATAATATTCATTTCCCTTTCTTCCCGCCAATTACAATGCGTACCTTGTGAATCACATGCTCTGGGCCCTTTTTCTTCTAATACTTTCCTGCTCTACGTGTAATTGCTTCGTCATTTCCTTCTCCTTTGGCGTAATTTTCTTGGGTGCTCCTATCCACTTTGCCAACAGCTGCTTTACTGGTGACTTCACATACTTTACTAAAGCATGCCACCGGTTGTTGAAATTGGAGATTCTCTTCACTTCGACAATCAGTTATATTCTATTACATGGCCACCTTTAGAAGAATTGTGTAGGAAAACCAAACGTTCACCGACAAAGGGAGAAACTATTGCAAACGTAAACTTACTTCTAAACTTTCTGTGAGACATTAGGATCTGTACGTGATTTGCTGTTTGTATGTTATCTTCTCGAGAAGTCGATCCAGTCTTGATAAAGGCTTGTTATCTTCTCTAGATCTTGTCGACTTGACGTAACGTCAAGTTGAATATACTGCTCAGGTATTCGTCGGCATGGAAAGAAGGGAATAACGTCTGTGTACTATGCAGCATTTTCTCGCCTATGAAATATGCTTGCAGCCCGACCATACGAGCACTTCCTTGCTGGATGTATCCATGAGGGAGACACATATAACACCAGAGAATAGCAGACAATATCTTACTTTGATACTCGATGCTTCTTACTCCCATTTCGGATTCATTAATCTATCGATGTCTTGATGACTTCTGCCTCTGCCCGGAAGCAACAGGCAGCTTTAGTTCTGCCGTCATAAAATATTGCAGGATGCTAGCTTCTTCAGTAATATGAATCAGTCACGTCTTGCATAGCGCGTTATACATACGGCTCACATATCCTCCCCAGACAAAGAACAATTGCACGAGCCCATATTCTGAGCCACCAAATCTGGACAGTATATGATTAAGCTCAGAATCTATGGAGTCCCGGTGGATCCCATGACACTAGTGAGCTCCTGCATACGAGAATCAAGAGATAGAACTGAAGGCCCTGAGAAGGTTTCTTTGCATATGCCAAGAGCAAAGCAATCTTCGTGGCTAGTCAGTTGAGCAAAATGGCTGATTAGGGCGTGCCAAAAATAGTGCCAACACTGCTTCCCACTGGACCAATCTGTAACCCCCTGGAGGTGACAGAGGTGTGAAGAATCTGGGTTCAGGATGGCAGACAGGATAGTACCAAAGCAAATGAGGAAACAAATAAAGAATAGGATAAGTCGTCAGGTAGCACGACGATGTGACCTGCGATTCCTCTTGGTCTGATGATGATGATGAACAGGAGCAGTGGTCAACAGTTCCAGTCCACAAAGATCTGACAACAATGGGCACGTCTTACACTGTCATCCCAGTGACGTTTGATACAGATCAGGCATCGTCCGGAGAAGAAAATACATTTCCGTCAGCTGCGTGCAGATTCCTGCTTGCATATGATCAGCAACTGGATTCCAAGG